TTTTTCGCTGTATTGTTTTGTTATATACGTAGCTTATATTATAATGGAGCAATATTGGAACGGCGAGATTTAATTTAGGAATATTATTCTGCGATGTCTGATGCATTTTAATTCGCCGGTGAAAGGAAATTTATATCATAATTCTCTGATGATGGATCCTTGTTTAAATGTGAAACGTCAGTATTTTATATGAAATTCTGTGTATTATTGTGAACCAACATCTAAGTAATGTTTTTATAAGGAATATAAATAAGAACTGAGTAATATACTGGATATATGCATACATCAAAATATCCATATAAATAGATTTTTGTAAATATGTGCAATTAAATATCTGCAGCGCATGTAGATAAGTAAATAAAAAACAGCGACTAATTGTAAATGCAAACGTGTATTTCTTTCAACTACGGTGAAATTAATGATGTTCTGTGCAACAAGTCTTTTTATCAATCCGTAAAAAAAAAAAGAGAAAGAGAGAATGGACGAACGTAATATCGATGTTTCCGGTTTTAATGGTGAGGGAGTGAAGTGGGTGGACGAGAGCGCAATTCGAAAGCCCGGAAACGAGCTTTAACGAGGTTCGAAAGGGTGACCCAATGAGGATACGTAAGGGTGCAAGGAACCATGTGCAAAAACCTTCCGTGTGTACGCGTATAACAGTGCGAAACAGTTCATGTCACGGCCACCACGCTGCTGGTAAAATCGTGGGTCGGCGAAGAACAGGAAGGGAATGGGATGGGATTGACAAAACCGTTTGATGCAGTTCCCAACAAAACTCCGATGAAGCGAATTGTCCTAGCGTTCGCAAGACCGGGTAGCTATCCTAATTAATGCGATCACGCCGACATTTAATTAAACCTTCTGCAGTAACGGCGCTCAGGAAATTTCGTGTGAAAAGTAGCATGTGCGATTTTTTTTATGATCTCATTGTATAATAAAATAAAATCGATTTGCCTCAATAAAGAAATCCATTCGGTTCTCGCAATTTGTAACAAGTGAGTCAATATTTTATGTGTTCACGTGAACTATAAAACTCCGAGATTATTCATTATTCATCATCGGTTAGCGATAATAATGTTTACATGACGGAGGAATCTCATCGTACATATCTCATTAATTATGCGTGCACATGATTTATCGGTCGATTATCATGAGAAAACGATAGCTCATAACTGATAAAATCTTGATGTTGTATTCACACCCGGCAGTGTATACTTACGCAAAGCCCGTCATGAATGCAAGATTGCTTACTCTAGATAATAATCTAATTGGATTTAATTTGATTTCACTTCGATTTGATTACTGTGAGCTGCAGCTTCCAAAAAGGAGTAATAATAAAATATATTTTTACGCGACACAATAAACGTCATAAGATAATTTTAATGAATTGGGGGTTCCAATTATTCTGCAGCATAACGAGCACCAGTTGCAACACGTCGTATTATATACGCCATTATTATAATATTTCAGCGACGTGATTTTCGACGAAAAATTTTCCAAAATTCTTGTCTTTGTGCGATTAAACAATCGTGTTGTATAATTCGTGTACAACATCAGAAATTTAGACTTTATCTTGCCTGATTCTATTCAGCTATTGCGGAGACTGCGTGTATCGCTGAGCAATAAAATAATTACACCGGGCGCTCTAAGGTGTAATTGCCTTTTAATAATACAGTCCTTGATAAACTTAAAGTTAACTTCTTCGTAGCGAGAATTTTCGATTATTATTTCTTTCGCTCCAAACTTTAACGCTTACGTTCGTCGCGCAGCTGCAATTTATTAATATTAATACATGATAAGTTATATTTATAAATTTTTAAAAGCGCTCTCTATGTGAGAGATATCATTTTAATTAATTATTGAGCTATTTAATGCTAAAATGTGAAACATGACTACAAAGAAATTCTTTGTCCGATATTCACCGAGCACAAATTCATTCTGAATTCACCAACGCGTGTATGTAACTCGGAAGAAGGAAAGCGCAAGAACTGGTTGACTAGTGTTGCACAGGGTGAATCAGAGAACATTTAAACATCTCTTTTATGTTCAAAAGTCTGGGAATGTGTAGAAAACCTTCCTATAATTTAAATAATTTCAAAAGAAAGAGATAAATATGCTTCTTTGAATAGAATTAAATAATTTTTTTTTATTCCTGCATATTGCAGTTGATGTCAAGAGACGAGAGTTCAATTATGCGTCATAATATCGCGATGTCACTCTTGAACTCAAAAGTTTAAAATAAAATAATTTTAGAAACTTTAAAATACGCAACAATTTTATCAAACATTAGAATATTATAAATATCTAAAGACAACTTTTTTTTAAATTGTATTTTATACAATTTGTCATGTATCTTTAAATCTAACATAAGAGAGATATTTTAATTCCGTTTTTGATGATTCACCTGTGTGAGATTATACGGCGTTCTTGTTTTTCGTCCGCCGAAAATATTATACCTGTAAATCCTGTATGCGCGACTTTTCAGACACTATGTACGCTCTGATGTGCGTCGCACGTTGCACGGGGAAATGCATTTAGCCGGTAATGAGCGGCTGGAAGTTTTTGTTATAATTAGGTTGTTACCTCGTTTCCAGCAGGTATATATTCCGGTGCGAGAGCAGTCGCGGAACTGAGATTTCTTTATCAAGCCGCTCTCTCGCGTTACCTGTGTATGTATAGCGCGCGCAGTGTACGCCTCGTGCACGGGAATAAAGATGCGCAGGGTGCACGCGGTGATGCATATGCACAAGCGCATTTTGCAAAAAGAGAGAGAAAGAGAGAGAGAGAGAGAGAGAGAGAGAGAGAGAATAGTTGATTAGCCCTTTTTCTGACACGCGTCACGGAAATGTTGCCTTTATTAACCAAGATGAAAAGAAAACTCCAACTCTCTCCGGCTGTTCCTTTGTCATAGCAAACAATTTTAACCTTTCGTTATGTTTAGATTTCGCAGTCTTTGTATTTTTCTATTCTCGGGTCAAGTAAAAAGGTAAATTTGTCGATAATTAACGCGCAACTTTTGATCTAGTTTACTCAAAGAAATTATTAGATTGTATCGCACAAAATTGCCGCTTCTAAAAAATGTTACATTTTGGAAGCAATAAATATTATTCAATACGTGCACGTGAATAGTTTAATTTTTGTAATTTTTTAGAAAAACGCTATTGTTTATTTTTACGGAAGAAAAATTTTATATTTTACAATATACCATAAATAAAATAAATAATGTTGGCCTCGATTTGTTTAGCCGGTCTTTCGTTAATTGAAATTTGATTACGAGTCTACTGAAAGATACCGCTGCTGCAGGATTGCTACTGTTTCCGCATCCTTCGAGTCACTTTGTAGATAGGTAAGTATAGATTGCACCGTGTGCTTAAGAAAACTTCTCGTTCCACCCTCCCTCCCCGCCCGCTCCGAGATAAACAAACTTATCCGTCCGATCTGTTCAAGAGTGAAAGAGCGTCTCTATCGGCTGTTACATGGCCGAGAGATAAGCATCGTTCGTATCGATCGCGTATTCGATTCGCAGCAGATGCAGGACAATGCGGGTTTATGCTGACGCATATCGCTGTTACGGGGTAGATGTTCGTTTATTCGTGCATCATAAACATTTTTCCTTTTGACCGTGTGCGACTTGCATGTCACGTATGCGCTCACAAATAACGTTTGACAAGAGCATTAGTCGCAGTCGCAGGACATCGAACATCGATATTCTCCCCGTCCTCATGAGCTATGAAACTGCATCGCTCTTAGACTGAGTTGTAAAAATTGCGATGTGATTTATATTTGTGACAAAGACAAGGCTGCGACTGGTAACTTTTTGTGATATATAAAATGTCCCACATTCATAAATACAAATATCGAATATTTAATTCATTAATTTTCTTTCTACTCGCGCTTTATTTTGCATTAATTTGTATCTTTAATTAATTAAAATAAATTTTATACATATAATTTTATACATTTTACACATTTTACACTATATATAGAAAGTTAATGTTATCTTGTTAATTTCCTGCCAATTCATAAAATAGTAACACATTGTTTCTTGACTTATCGAGGAGAATAATTTATAATAAATTTTTAATATCTTAATATTAATATTCTGTTGCTTTAAAATTTTAACTGAAAAGATATTTAGAAATTATGAATCGAAAGTATTAATCTGCTTGTCTCTATCAATTTATCAATCTTTCTCTTTTTTTCTCTCTTTCTTTTATTTTTCACCCCTTTTCTCATAGATTGGAATGAAGAAAAACGAACAACTATTCTCTTTTCTTGTATTGCTGTTTCATAAATTTTTGAGCTTTTTCTTATTTTCCCGAAAATAATAAGTGATTTATTTTCGTTGGAAAATTTTATTATAAAAAATATGTAAAAGATATCATTGGAAATTAACATGAATTGATATCGTACAGTAATCAATATTATACTTAAATAACGTGTGCTACATTTCTCCGATGTTGAGAAAGAATTATTTAAATCAATTTGTAAGAAATAATAGTATCAGAGAGAGCCATTTAATATATTTATCACTTATTAATTAATATTTACACTATGATTGATCATTTGGCGCAATGGTAATTATTAAAAGTTTATCAAAGCAGCGTATTTCGTGGTTTCAGGAGAGTCAATTAAATATAAATGAATGCTGAATGCATGGGTCCCAAAACTACGTCCTTCTTTCACAAGAACGCAAACATAGATCATTCGAAGCTATCACGTGTGTCGCTAATAATTTAATAATGCATCGCTGTATATTGCACGTGGGGGGGGCTGGCAGCCTAATATCCGGAGCTGCACTAATATCGCGGAATTAGCGCGCGAATAATCGGTCGGCGCTTCATCCCCCGTGTATTTCGTGCGCCGCGCGAACGCTGCCCCTATCGAACTTCCTCTCCGTATCGGAGTTCCGCCACTCGCAAGTTCCGCCGCTCGGCTCCCCGGCTTTAGAAGAGCTTGCGCCAGTTCGCACGCAGACAGCCGCGCGCCGCGGTACAGCATACTCCGGGACAGGTTGTCGTCGCGGTAGCGCGCCGGTCGCAGTACCGTCGTACGGTTTGAGTAAGAACCATCCGCTCTCGTTTCCATCGTTTCCGTTTTCGACTGTCGCTGCCCTGTCAAACATTTAAAATCCCTCCGGTGTCAAATCGACTTCGCGTCGGTGTCTTCGACTGGCGTCTCCTCCGCGTCGATCTTCCCTCTAGCTTTCCGATCAAGCTGCTCGCACCGAGTCATCCAACCTGCGTGAATAGTGAATGGACTGAAAAATTTGTTGGTGGGCAAAACGATGTAATCGCGAGGAGTCGATTCGATGTTCAAGTCGACAGCGATCGGAAGATGTCTCTTGAGGATTCTCGAAAAAATGGACACGACGCGTGATGAGGATAAAAGTACAAAGAGAATTGAACTCTGTCACTTCTGGTGATACAATCGTTCTTGAAACGTAGTCGAACGTGAACGTGTGCTGCAACAGAATTATGTGACGATCGTATTCGTGCTTTCAGTCTCCTTGGAAGTTCGAACATCCCTTAAACGAGATCAGTCTCCTCTTACAAAGCAAAGGGTCTTGAAGAGTCGCGCATTAAACATCCAGGTTATTTCCGTGTTAAAGAAATAATTTTTTGTGTTAATTACTTAAACACTTTAATTGCCAGTGAAAAGAGGCACAGTCGGTTTTACAGACGCTGATTCTATTATTTCGATCTGAACTTTAGACAATTGATCTAAAATTATTTATGCGCAATCAGATTTATTTCTACTCGTGTTTATGTAAATTCTATCTTTGTGTATCAATTATCTAATTATTTAATATCGCAAAATTTAAAGATTAATATTAAAAATCAAATTTGTTTTTGCGTTAAATATTGCAGCAATTCAATCGTTCATCGGTATGTACAATTACGTTTATTTTCCGGTTAATTATTTGATTGTCCATTGGTTTGTTAATCGATACTTGTAATCAAGTTTATTTTCGCAGTAATTGTTTTGACCTTTTAAATTGCTAAGCAATATTTCAAGCTGAGTTTATTTTCGCGTTAATTGTTATATACTTCAACAGTTAATTTTAATATATGTACATAATTGGATTTCATTGCGTGATTATCGTACTATAATTATTATATAAGTTACGAATTTTCACCTGCGGATTGTCGAGTGTTTTTCAAGATTTTAACAGCCATTGTTCTCTACGTTCAGAATACACCGACCGCAACTTTAGTTGAAGGTTCGAGGAGAACGAAGAATACAACTCTGACCTGTGTGATAATATTGGAAGTACGAAAGTTCGGTGATCACACAACTTTAGTTCACCAAAGTACGCCAATGTGTTTTACGAAGACAATTTTGAAAGTGTAATAATCGGTGGGACTTAAACGTGTATCGTGATTTATCGTTGGCTGCGAAAGAAAAATGTCAGTGGAAAGAAATATATATTACAACGCATTGTTTGGTGCTTCACTTGACACAAGATATTAATAACGATAAAAGTGACAATAAAAGTCACAATGCTACATAATTTTGAACATTATATCTGAGCCTGTTCTGAGATATTAATAAAACTGAGATATTTAGTTCTGTGGTCCAACCGCACTGCCGTTAGACGTTAAATTGACTGTGGAGAAGGAGATTCGATTTTTGCCCGTGTGCACATGTGTGGTTGACGTTATATACGGCGAAGCATTTGAGCAATGAAATCGGACGAGTCGACGCGGAGTTAAGCATCGCTAATTATCTTAGAGCCGCTGTATAATTGTCGCTAATTAATCTGTGCGACTCTTCACGCCTCTCGCCTCTGCCGGATTCTCTGCGAATTTTCACGCTTCCGCCGTCGCGAGGTGAGTCGAGCTATATAAATATCCTTCGACAACAAGCTGTGCACACATTTTCCACTTACCAGCACATGTAGCGGCGCTCGCCGTGACGCTAATCGCGCAGGGTATTCGACAAACAAGCTGAAAATTGTTTTTCGCTAAACTTCGAACTAATAAACTCGTAAAGATAACATTTTTTTATTAATTATGAACGAAGGGGTACGATAATGCCATAAGTCGATTTATATAATTTTTAACAAATTTTTTTCTTAATTTGGGACAACAATAACAAGAAATTAATAAACCAACAAAAGCTGGAAATAATATATATATAAATTATTTCCATGAAGTCTGAAAACAGCGATATTATTTTGTTCAACACTGCTCGGAATCCTCTCAAGAACGTTTTTCAATTTTCTGCTTTCTTAACTTTCCTCGAACGTGCTCAAATATAAAAAGCTACAGCATTACTTCGGTTAACTGCGATACTAATGTGCATCTGCCACCGCAAATCGCACACAAATTTCACATTTGTGATTATGCGCTGCATGCATAAAACGAATTCATATCTGATTTATAGTCGGCAAAGTTATGTTTTATCATTTTATAACGGTCAGTAAAAATATGTTTGAGTCATGAATTAAATCTCTTTTTAACTCTCAATTCTTTTTTAATGTATACTATTGAATTATACATATATATGTCCCATAAGAAAAATAAATTGCTAAATTTTTACCTTTATGTTAATAAAAAAGCATATTGTATATATACAGAATTAAAAATTATCAATTATTTCAAATGTTATTATTAAATCTATACAAAAAGATTAAATTCCATGTAATTTTTCTAGTTAAAATTTTCAAGCTTTTATCAGCTAAATGAAAATATTAATTTTGCTCTATTAATTTTTATTCCATTTATTTTTTAAATGTTACAAAAAAAATGTACAGAATTTTATACGATTTGCATTTTTTTATACCAAGCAAAGCTTTGGCGAATCATATTTTCAAGAATCTCCGTAAAGCCTTTGAAATCCTTAAAATATCGCGCGACTCGGAAAGCCAAGAACATTTTCATCACGCAATATGGCATAAAAACTGCCGATTCAGTAGCCGTGAATGTTTTATTTTTACTTTGTTCTCAGGAAAATACGATATCGTCGCGGTGGAAAAGTTTAAACGGGGCAAAATGCAATTTGTTTACCTATATACACTAGAGCAGAGGGAAATATTTTTGGTTTAGTAGCCACGTTTATCTGCGTATCAGCCATCTGCATACTCTGTTTGCATAAAGATCGAGTGTTGGAATTAATTAATCCATTACGCGTATAACCACAACTCACGAGAAGCATCTTTTTATTTCGAAATTGTGATTTTTTGAATAAAGATACAAATACAAAGATCTATTATTATTAAGAATTATTGCGACAAATAATAAATAATTTTGTCTAGCGCATTGATTGTACAACGTAATCATATTTTATTTATCTTTCGCGTCTCCAGAATAAATTAACGCTTTTAATTAAACATTTGTTGTTAAGAAACAACGTTAATTTATAATAAAGAATTTTGCAAGCTTATGCAAAATTTTCAATTACGTTTGCGTAAGCACTATTATCCGGTTGTGTTATTTTATTTTCATAAACGTATTTGCGCGTTGGCGGTTTTTGCATACGCAGAAAATTTTACGTGAATTATTACGTTTATTTATTCGGTACAGTTAGCAGGATGTGTAGCTTGCCATAAAGTACTGTTATATTTGTTTTGTATCACGCACAATGCGTGTTTTCACAATTTTTTGTAACAATTTTTTGTAACGTGTTTTGTATAAAACTTTACCATGCAGAAAAGATGTAAACAAAAAGAAAATGTGTAGATTATTATTACATAATTATAAGGCATGTGTTAATCTGTGATTATATTTTTGTGATTTTAAAATATGAAAAATATTGAAAGATATCTAAAAAATAAACGATCATTAAAAAGTTCGTTATTAATTCAAAAATTAATAAACATATTCCGCAATAATTAAAATGCAATATTATATAATAAAAACATAATTTCATCTTGACGCATTATGCGCATAATAATTAATTGTAATATGCATTCTACAGAAGCTCTTTTTCAGATAGAAATTTTTTAAATCCCTCATTTTACACATGTATATCTAACGAGATATAAGTATTAATATGTTTGCAAATTTAAGTTAAACAGTCTAGTTAATCTCATACAAGGAAAAAAACATGTAAAACTTCTTTCGGAGACCGTTCTCGCAAATTGAGAGTTATTTCACGACTAGTTCATCCTCGAAAGCATCTCACATTTTGCTTCTACAAACTATAGTTCGTCACGTTCCTCTCGTCGCGATATTGCGCGTTCGCAAAGCCTCATTTTGCCATATGATATCCCGAGTTTATTTTCATGCCCTCTCATTCTGTCGAAATGAGGCACGTTGCGGAAATTAAACTCGCGAATAATGGGTTAATTTGAGCATGCGATTAGTTAACTCTATCCTTGCCAGTCGTGAACGCTCGATTAGTTTTCGTGCGCGAAATTGTATCAGATTTTTCAACATCCAGCAAAAAACGTCCATGGCAAAAATAAAATGGCGATATATAATAATATTAATTAAAAATCATTATTATTATTTTTGTAAAGCGTTCTCTAGATAATAATTCTCTGTTCAAAAATAAGTGATTGATTATTTGCGAGGAAGACAGAAAATTAAATGTATTATTCGCAGACACGCGCGCGTAATATATTATACAGTTAAACGAAGCTATTATTTTGATTAAAAAAGAAGAAAATAATAAGATTGAATGTTATTCAACGCAAGATGTATTCAAATTTTCGTTATTCACAAAATGTTCACGAAACCGTGAAATTTGCAGAAGCAAATATGGTAGAAATCTTAGGAAGCTGGTAATAAGATAACAAAGTATCTTTCACGCTATCAAGCAATATACAAGTTCACATGCGTAGAATATTTCGGTGCTACCTCCATTATTCCGTGCCTGCTTACGTCAATCACAAGAATGCAGAATCTTCGCAGAAGCCGCGCGATTCGCGAAACTTGTCGACAAAGTACATTCCGAAAATTCCGCCCTGCGAAATTTCAGTTCGCGTGGGCCTCCTTTCGTGCTCGTTGCGATCGGGGGAAATTAGAAAGGGGTGGGCAAAGGCAACCACCGTTACGGCGCACGCGAGGAGTTAATTAGGTTCTAAAGTAATCCTTTGTTCCATTTTAGTTAATAGGACTAGAGCTGTAACAGAGCCTGATAAACAAAAGCGCGTATTATATTAACGCGAAACTAATCGCAAAATATCGTGCCTTCGCGTTGACGTGAAATCGCAGTATTGTCGACCGTGTTATTGTTGCCGTCATTATTATTATGTGTTACGGTTTAGAATGTAACCGAGATTATTTATTGATTAATAAATTACAATTCAAATGTAATCAGGTTCTGCAAGTACAGAATTTATTGTACATGTAAAATAATTTCGGCATATTTCCTTGATAAATTTAAATTTTTCACTAGCAAATTCTTATGATATTTAATAATATAATTTAAATTTCTCGTAAATAAACTCTCCAATCAAGGATTGATTAAAATAAGTTGTAGATTCAGGAATATTTCTCAATAGATTAAAGAAACTGTATCTTGACACAAGATACATTATAGAAATTTATCAATTCTTTCAACAGATATTTCAAAATTATTAAACTTTTGCAGAACGCAGAAATTCTAGATTTTAATAAAGTGGAAGAATTAATTTGAAACTTTTCTTAATTTCGAGCCGTTAGAAATTAAAAAAACAAAAATTAATGAAGAAAATCGCGAATGAATTATTAAAAGAACTAAAGCTCGTGAGACAATAAAGCTTTATCATTAAATATCGACCAACAATTTTCAGTGTTTAATTATCGTTAAATAATTACCTGAATATAACTTTCGTGTAGTAGCAAATATCCTAGACGAATAAATTATAAAAAGATTTATAAAAATATGTGTATAAATACACATACTTATATTTCTTGCATATTTTGTATCAATCAACAGATGAGATAAACGCGTGAATAAAAGAGACTGCGTAAGTTTTAGCGAAACTGATGTAGCTGTTATAAAAGATCGCAATTACTCTATCTGGAACCTCGGTAATTAACTTAATGAATTAATCGAGAACTTGTTTTATAGAATTGTTCTGCGGTTTTGCTGAGTATTAATAATGTTACAACGAAATTACGTCATAATTATTCAAAAGCATCTTCCAAGGAATGCGGGATTTTATTGTATTGAAATAATGATTGCGCATAAAACGGCGGATTATTGTAAAGCTTGTAATACGTTTTTAATAATCGACACACAATTTTCAGGATACGTAAGAAAATTGGAAAGCAATTTTTGTGCAATTACAATACAATGGTTACCTATGTTAATCCTCTTTTCGCGAATCAAACATTTTACGTAACGGAGAACGTTGATAATTAAAGCCGCAATAGATAAATGTTGAAGGAGCCGGAAGCACTCGAGCGGTTCTTGAAATGTGGACTTTCTGGATGTACATGTGCCTTTAATTAAAGCTATCCGGTTCGTTTCGCAGCGCCGATAAATAATTGTTTGCAAAAGCAGCCGATGTGGTCGTTACACTTGCTCGCGCACCTTTTAATTTGCACTTGTGCCATTACTTTTAATTTGTCCGTGTGCAGCATCGAATCCGTCGGCGGATATATATCGCGGGAGGAAAAAAAAAACGAGAGAAGGGGAAGAAATGAGAGAACTAATTCCACTTTTAATTTCTTGAGAGATTTCAAACCTGCCGAGCAGACTGCAGAATCGATTGCACACTGTCATTTTGTTTCGTATCGGACTGGTCGTAATTAGAAGAGATTTCTGGCTTCGTCCCCGCCGCTTTTTGCAATAGCATTGCAGCTGGTTCCGCGTGGATGATCACATTTATCCATCTAACTTGTTCTTACATACCAGCGATCAAAAGAAAAATGTGCTTGCCAATTTATAACGGATT